TAATGTATTTATGGATAATACTGGACAGCGTTTTATACCTACATAATAAGGTACTTATTGTGTACTTTACCCAGAAAACCGGCTAACATGTTTTGACAGTAAGGGTTCCCACAAACTAATCGAGGCGCAATCGGCTTTACCGCCGAAAAAAGCTTTATGTCTATTTATAAGTATGTATAAACCGGTTTCGTCGTCGGCCGGTGACAAGTCACGTAGTCAGTGCCGAAGCAATGCGAATGACGCCGTTTACATTTTTATTACCCTGGATGTTTATCAGTCTGACCGGCTCAAGCCATTTTTATGTCGATTTATTTGATGGAGTCCTAAGAGCTTTATCACACTGGCGATTTGAAAACGACGCGACAGCGCGGCGAGAACGCTGTCAAATCGCTAAGCGGCCGCAGCGTTGTCGTTGCGTGCACGCTGCGCTGTCGCATCGCTTTCAAATCACTCGCAAATCGCTAGTGTGATAAGGCTCTTACTCGAAATAGGTATTACGTTTTGATAATAAACTAGGTGATAAAAACCCAAGATGCCACATCTAGTGATTAAATAAGAGTTACAAAATTTTCGAAACTCGGGTTAGAAAATTATAAAACAAAAACAACGCCATGACTGACAGGGGCTCGAGGGGCTTGGACAAAGTGCGAGGAGGGAAATGATGAATCGGTTTATAAGTATTGTGGCTGTGTTATTTGTAGGTAATTTTGGTTGCCAGCAGTTAATGGGTATTTTCAAGGAGTTACAGGATATATAATGCCACGTTCCGGAGGCATGGTTTTCGACCGCTTTTAGCCGGTACGTTCTTTTAGGATCTTATCCGGTGTAAAGTCTTGTAAAGACTTTATTCTGTTCTCTTCAAAATCTTCTCCTAAACATCCACTTTTTCTGGTCTAAATTGTTTGTTTGTAGTTTTCTTTATCAGCAATAGATGTAACAATTATTTCTACGTACCGTTATGTATATTTGTAGAAAATATTTGAATAACATTTTTAATATAGTATTTTTACACGCAGTACATAAATAAATATACATTTTAATTAATATAATATGTCACTATATAATGTAACATAAGTATACTTTTTTTTAGTCTATTAAACGTTGTAGACTAATGAATAATAGAATACGTATCAGCAGTATAGAATATGTGTCAGCAGTGAACCTATAAATCGGTGAATTTTGGCGACCTCAGTGGCCCAACGGTTTATAATGTGAGCGCTGGATGTGGAGGTCCCGGGTTCGATTCCCGGTAGGACCAAATTGATAAATGAGCTTTTGTAAATTAGTTCTGATCTGGGTAATCCGGTTAATGCCCCGAAGTGAATTCCGTTGCTCTGGTACTCAAAGCATATCCCTGTGCTTTTTATTCCAAAGTTTAAGACCGGGCATTTGGTGTGGTTATCTGACACATAGTTATTATTATTTATTCGTAGCTGTTTAAATTTTTCTTTAAGACATTTTAGAGTCAAGTTATTTTTAAGTTCATTATTCAGCGAAGTGGAGTGATAGTGGGCTCAAGTTGGTCATAATTTATTTTACATCAAAACAAAAACACATTCAGGTTTTGTACAACAGTGTCAAAAGACAAGAAGGCGAAACTTCCACCCCAGAAGTAAGTTCTTCAAAGCACAATGTCAAAAAAATGTGGTTCGAATAGTGTAACAGTGAGTAAAAATATAAATGAAATATAAACAATAATCAAAGCTGTTGAAAAAATAGAAAAACAAAATACAGGGTAAAAGTCAAAAACAGAATGTATTTAAAAATAAAAAGAAAAGAAAACAATTGAATGGAAAATTACAAAACAGTACAAACAAAACCGTTAAAATACATGCTATTTTATTGTCACCGGTGTACAAAGGTGCACGAAAGGAGCTTACCCGTACGACGTACCATCGCTTTCCTGTACGTCATCGTCATGTGCATCAAGGCATCTCTAAGCTCTAGGCATCAATCGGCGTGTACCTTACGCAGATTGGCAAATCCTTTCACATTCATAGTGTATGCCATCGATACAATAAAAAGAAAACCGCTCTAAAATTTCTACATAACTTAATATATTTGATTTACTAAATATTCATTCGTAATTTTAGTTTCACTTGTGTTTGTGCTTTTTTAGGTTTATGCATCATCATCCATACATAGCTCAGCTTTTAGCTCCTTTATTAGGTACATTTATTATACATCATCATATCAAGCATTAAATATTTACCACCAAAGCGAATTTGATGTTCATCTTTTTAAAAAAAAGCATTAATTTATAGATAGCAATGAATAACGGCTTTATTTATTGTACTTATCGATTCGATCAATGATAAAGATAAAATATCTTCATTAAATATTGGGTCAATAAAATGGTGAGTGTTTATTTTTGCATTTTTCGTTGATTCGATTCCCGACTAAGGTAAGCCCGAGTAAGATAAGAAAACCTGTGAGTATAGTCGTTCATATTGAGAAAAATAATAGAACGTCTTCTTTAAATAAAACTAGCTGTCTTAAGCGTACAAGACTGTCCCATATCTCATTGATTTTTTCCATCCTGTATATTTACAGGTAAAATTGGTCGTTTTAAGAGCTTTACATTCTTTAATGGCACAAATAAAGGCATATGAATATCGTCATCAAATCAAAATTCATGGAATTTATGTGAAAATCTCAATTCCAAATAAGCCAAAGAGCATGGAAGAATGTGAAAAGCCCTTTTAAACGAGAAATGTGTACAAAATGTACCTATATATATTAATGGGCTTGATAGTTAACCTTTGTGGGATTAGTTTCTACCGCACAATCACTAACACTAACACTCTTTTTACATGACGATGGTAAGTTATAAACCACAGTTAACATAATGTCATTTTATCTAAATTTCATTTCATCTAGAAATAGGATTATTCCCGAAAAACGATATTCCTAATATTAGAAACCAAATCAAACCAAACAAATTCCATTCTGTTTTTTTTTATGTTCTAATCTAACCTAACCTACTGAATGGGAGCCGCAACCAAAATTTGACCTATCTAAAATACGTTTGTTTTATTTAAACCACCAAGGAAACAAGTGTCTAACAATAATAATTCTGTCAAAATAAAAATTCAGCATTATGAACTATATTAAGGGAAACCACTCTCCCTCCATAGCTCCAGCTTTTAATTTTTTTAGTATAGAATCGACAAGTGCCGTGGCGAGTCGAGTTTAAACTTATTATTTATGAAAAGTGATATTATATCACGAAAAAATTATCTAAACTGACAATATATTAAATAATTGTTATATAATATGAGCTTTATACATATTTTTTTTAATAAAATGTGAATGTTATATCAAGTTCAATTACCTACAGGAAGTGAAATTGGTCGACATAAAAATTGTATTAAATGAACGGTATTTGTTTTAAAATTAGTCTATTTGATTTAATTTGACACACTGTAGAGCGACGATTATTATTCCTATGATAGAAAAAAATGGATTTTATGAAACAACGACGACACTAAAAACACCTAGATCCGAGATAATGTAGAAAAGTTTGTTTTTCTACATTGACCCGGCCGCGAATCGTAAATTAGAGATGGCGACACCATGAAAACCGGTGTGCAAGCAGCTCGATCACGAAGATCGTCCTATGATAATAATCATAGTCATCGTCAACACGTTTTACGCGCCACGACCGGGCACGAGTCTCCTCTTACGAGATGCTTTAATCAACCTTTATAACGTTATCCCAATGTGAGTAGGTGTCATCACATATTTTCCAAGGATTATGAATTTTCTTCAATATGCAGATTCCGTCACGTTGTTTTCCTTCATTGTTAGCGAGATATTACTACTAAGTATTCATACATAACAAATTTATGTAACTTCAAAAAAAAAAAAAATGTGTCATAGGCAAATCTAAACTGGAATTAGTCACTAATTCCAGTATAGATTAGTATCGTAATTTTTATTTTTTGTGTTTTTTTAGAGTTGCTGCAACGCCATAGTGCATACTGATATGTTACATTTTTTTTTACTGAACAAACAAACAAATATCGCCCCGGGGCGCGATACCTGGATCTCGATATAGAAACAATTTTTTCCCACTTGGCTACCATTGCATTCAAAATATTATTATATATATTTGTAAATATTTTACTACTGATCAATTATAATTTTAGGTCATAACGACGCAAACTCGTTAACCCATGTATTCAGGCAACTTTTTATTGTATTAACACTTCTGCTTATACAATAAAGTTCAAGTGCATGATATCCTTAACGTAGCAGATACGCTGTCGCGGCTACAGCCTTTTGGAGGACGTTGAATTGATTTGACACGATTTATTATATGACTAGTTTTATTAAGGGCCGTTTTTGAGATGAAATAAATGCGGATATGGTTAATTAAAAAATAAAAAGTGTGTACTACAAACAAAACAGATAAAAAATATTCAAATGTTTCATTGATGGAAACGAACGAAATTAATAACGGGTTTTAACATATCACAACAGATTTTTTTTTGCTAAGAAAAGATGTTATGACTCTGGTATTACATAAAAAGAGAGAAGCGTGTTATCCCGAAATCCAACTGAAGCACGATTATTACAAATGTAACTTGAGTTCAAATACTGAATTACCATATTCAATTTTATGTTGAATAAAACTCGAATCAACCATTGTCATGAAATAAATGCGTTCCCCCTAAATCAATTTCCGTGAGCTTAAGTACGGAGTATTTTGGTGCCAAATGTAAAAGAAGTAATGGTTTTACGACCACATAATAAAAAAAATTCTCTCTCAAATGAATAACACATAAATATAATTCTCAGTGTCTTATTTTTGAACATTTCCCTATAACGTTTGAAATATTGTTTTCCTTGTGGGAAGTCACAGCCAAGTTACACGCATACGTAACGTATAATTAATGATAATTTTAAATTTCAGTTTCCTCATGACAAGGAAGTTTGTGCTATGTTCTGTTAAAACCCATATAAGTCTCATTTGGAGCCGAGTGCTAAAGCCTTACCTGTCCATGGTTGACGAAGCCATGTCGATGAGCGAGCTCTGTAGCCTGATGGTACCCTCCAGGTACATGGACCGCGAACTGATGATGATATACATCGTAAGAAGGTACACAGTCTACCACTGTCATCAACACGATCACGCCGAACGCGAACATCACGCCACACGCGCATTGCACGTTACCTATCGTCTACTTTCATACTAACTACTCGTTAAAAAATTGAATTTCTTAAAATCACTCGTGCTGTTTTGAAACCAGTATTTTGGAAGTAGAGACGTCTGTTCTGGAGAACGCCTCTCTGAAGACTGGCCGTTGGTACTGGACGTGTTTCCTTCTATTTTGCAGGGCGCATGCGTTAAAGTTGGCGCCCTTTCTTTAGCCTACTTGATGTCCTAACGTATTGTATTCTTGCCGCCAATTGACTTGGAGCACTTAATTGTTGGGAAACTTTTAATATATTTTCACGATTTTTTTTCTACGAAAATTTTTTATAATTAAAAGGTTCCCAAATTATGAAAAAAGGTTCTCACAATGAAATTCAAGCGTTTATGATGAAACTAATTTGGTAGTTAACAGAGTTTGAAAAAAGCAATTACGGTTTTTGCGATACAGTCACTAATTTTAAATTAATCTTCAGTTATTAATAAGAGTGGAAGAAATTTTTGGTGGTACAATACCAGCAAAAATTACAAGAGCAAGAATATGGTTTCAAAGATTTATTTTGCTCATTTACTAATTTAACCCTTTCAACGGTACTTAAATAGAACCGCACATAAAAATGTCAGTAATTTTCTTGCCGTAGTGCTTATATTGATTCAATATAAAATGTTCAATGTAAGTAAATCATTAAATTTTGTCAGTACGTTGTTTACATTTATCTATGGAAAAGCAGTAGGCAGCAACTACACAAAAATTGGAAACCGCCTTCAAAGTCCGTAATTGGTTTTTTCAGATCCATATAGCGAAACGGGTACCCCGTACTATAATATTTTAATTTTATTTTACGATAAATGCTGTAATTGTCTATGAACGGGTTAATTAAATTTAAATTTGAATGTAATGGGTTTTTCTTTGATATTCAATTAAATTAAACATTCAGATTTTGCACTAGCACCTTGTGACTTTTGTTTATTTCCAAAAATTAAGAACCAGTTACGCGGTCAGCGATTGTCATAACCTGAAGAGGCTGTCGAAGAGTATGAAAATTATGTTTCAGAGATTAACACGGAGGAGTGGCATAAATGTTTTCAAAATTGGTTCATTCGTATGAAAAAGTGCATTAACGCTAACGGAGAATATTTTGGGAAACATTAAATTCATTTCTGACCATTTATAGTATTTTTTATTATTCATTCCGGAAACGTATAGTGCGCCGAACGTATGTACGAATTAAGAGTTGCTACCTTAGCTTGAATTCAAATTATTCCAGTACAAATACGGTTAATTTTGCTTGTGTCGAGTGGCAGGGACACTGGCTTTATTTCAGATTTTTTTTTATTTATTGACATATGAGAAAAAAACAGTTACATACTAAATATATAACAAATATTGAACAAGCAAGATAGAAATATGAACCAACAACGTGTTCCAGAAATGTGTGACAATTAAGTCATTCTACGACTCGCGTGACACATGTGCGTAGTCTTGTGGAATTATATTTCAAAATGTCGTTTTATATTTATAGGGAGGAAAAAATTAAGTAAAATAATAAAAGAAATAAATATTATACGTTATATAGCCACATAGTTACGTTATATTCCTATATACATGCATATACATAACAGTACATAAGCAATCAGTTACAATAAAACTTATAAATACCATAGTGATCAGAAGGAGCCACTATCCAGTATGACAGAAACTTCACATTATCTGTACAGAGGGGTACTAAATATATACGGCCTGTGGGGTGATTCACGTAATCAAATCGTTACGATATCGTAGCTATTTACTTGTTGAACTGTTTTTTTGTATTCACGTGTGACAGTGATCGTCAACGAGTCCAATTTTAAAGTCGTTCGATCCAAATGTCTTTAAAGCGTATTCTGGTATATGAATCGAATTTAAATCGACTCTAAACGACAAGCCATACGTATTCTGCTAAAATTTTGACAGTTCTTTCAATAGACTTTCGACGACTAAATGTCAAATTTCAAAATCCAAGATGTCGTTCATTAGTCGTTACGTTTCGATTCTACTCATATCAACGTTCGTTCAAGTGATACGTGAATACCCATTTTGGACAGGACTTCGATCGAACGACTACGTAACTTCAACGACATTTTGATAGCTTGAACTTACGTGAATCGCACTACTGAAAATAATAATTATAATTGCAACATATCTTATAAACTGCAGAGCGTTTGCTGACATTGGTACGACAAAATGGGTGTGAGAAAAGGATTTTATATCTTAGGTGTGAGAAAAGGACTTTATATCTTAGGTGTACGAAGGGGCACTTTATATTTAAGTTTGGAGATTAGCTCAGAACGATGAATTTATATTTTATAGAGCAATGTGGTCTCAAGAAGTGCTCTACTCTGTACAAGACTTGACATACCAAACTCAAACAACAAGCTATTATAATTACAACGGTAACCTGTATCTTCAGAATTTTTTTCTGTATATTTTCAAGGGAGTAAAAATGTATGTCGTATACTATATGGTGTTCTGTTTAGTTCAGTTGATATAAAAGAAACAATGGTATATGTAAATACAGCGGTTTTCTTGTAAAATTTTGATAGTTTTTGATAGTTCGTATTAATGGAGGCTACGAGGCTTACGAATTTTGCCAATGAAAAATGGATCGCTTTTAACGGTGAAGTCTTCGGTAACCAAACTGGACTGCCGCGCAGAGGTTCCGGGTTCGATTCCCGGGCCGGAAGAAGTATTTGTATAGCTTACTTTTATTTCATGACACGCGCGATACAGTTTCCCTAGTGTGGGGCTATGACTCTGTGCGTTAAATACCAGTTCTACGCGAACCAAAGGACAGAGGAGTGGGTCGTTTGGGAGGACACTTGTAAGTTTAAATGTACTGCTTTACTTACTGACTTACTTACTTACTTACTTACATACTTAGTTACTTATTATTATTATTAAAAGTGTTTCTTTATGGTATTAGTAGTATTTTACAAATAACCCTGTGTAATCATCACTGTTACCAAACCCTGTAGGTTCCATCCAAGTGGATATAATCGATATAGAGGCTGTAATCTACCATGCTAATGCAATGCGCGTTACGGAGTACAAACTCTTATAAAACCTTTTCGGTATTCTGGTTTCGTAACATCACCTTTAGCCAAATCAAGTGGTAATTTACGTCACACCTCAAACACGCTCTCCTCCGCACACATTTGCACTCACACACTCAAGGATCACGCACGTATTCCGTTTCTTTGTTTATTATTTTATTTTAAATTTTTGATGTCATAATTGTCGTTTTTTGCTACCACAAATTTATGTACTAATCTTAAAACAAATTACAGTCTCGTTACAATTTGCGGAGGATACAAATATGTTTATAAATCAACTTTTTTTTTCAAACAAACCTGACTGGTTACGACTGACCATAACACCTGTAAAGGATCCAGAAAAGTTGGTTTGTTTGAATTACAAGTATGCGCGACTTAGATCCGAAACATAAAATCTTTATAAATTAACGTATTTTAATTTATTAACTTTCTAAATTAAATAAGAATATCGAACGGTAAATTTGTTGTATCTCGGTGAACCATTATGGGTTGGCCAGGCTAAAACGGGCTTCGTGTATCTCAATTTAAAAAAAAAAGGATATGCAAGGTTTGGTATATCTCGTTTATTACAAAAAAATAGCAAATTTTTCTCATTTACTTACACCATTTTTCTGCATGTTTTGTCAAAAATCCTTGCCAAAAATCATCGTCACATAACGAAAAAATATCGTCGTAGGATCATGACTCCTAGATCGAAAAATGCGGATTTTTTTCTGATACGAAGTATTTAAAAAGTAATTTTTAAAATTTTTCGATGTACGACAAAATTACTTCCAGTGTCGATATGTTTTTATTATTGTAATTTACTTAACGTAGCAAATCCAGGTCCGTAGTCTAAGTGTACTGTACCCCACTGGAAGACGAGCGCCATAGTATGTAAATATGCCTGTAGTAAACTTGCAGGGGCTATTATTAGCTCGTAAAGTGACCCTTACAATCCTCCTTAGCCCTTCCACCTTTTTCAATCTGCTGATGCCTGCGGCATACCTTCAAGGTAGGCGTTTAGATTGTTGTGACGTCCTTTATCTAAGTCATCGCATTATTACAAAATTATATTCGAATATCGTTGTGAATAAATTGAATTAGAATCGGATGGAATTTTAATGTAACAATTTTAATGAAAATTATATTACAGATTTTCGATAATAATTTGTGCCATTTGACGACTTTACTAAATCAGCGGTTCAGCCCAATGGACATGAGAATTACCTCAGTTTGATTGTCTTTGGACTAAGTAGAAAACTAACGTTTTTTACTCAAGTGTTTTATTCTGGTCTCAGGGTCAATAATTTCTTTTTACAGGCACTCGGCTGCCCGTGTCATAATTGACTAATATTTTTGTAAGTTTGAACGCGCTACCTTTGCGAATTTGTGGCCTAACGATACATGTCGTGAAAGGGATTGGAACCCTCGAACTCTCAATTGAGCATTAATCACTCTCCAACTAGGCTACCATCGCTTTTAATCGTTAACAGAGTATACATAATAAAAGAACATTATTTAAGGGTCATGTATAAAACATTACAAATATTATTGGGATATAAAAGAAACAACAAGGCTGTTTGCTGTATTTTATATTCGTTTCACAGGGGTTGATTGGAAGAAATTGTTGCTTGACAAAAGCGCTGCCTGTTACGATTTTTACGAAAACTTTTGTTAACATTTGATTGATTTTTATTTAAGTAATTGTTTTTTCTCAATATATAATTATAATTTTCTCATCTCAATCTCAATATATTTTTTTTATTTTATATACCAATTGACGGGTCAACAAGTCGTGTGTCTGGTGGTAAGCGACGTAATAATATTATAATATTACAATATTCAGTTTTTAATGATATTTTATTTCAATTTTAAATTTACTTTTAATTGTATATTATTTCGTTTATTTCATTACATAAT